GTCCAAGTCTCAAATCTATTTTGTTTTTCAAGCATATATACATATTTTTTTAATTGAAAACAAGAAAAAAAGTACTTGTTAGGAAAATATGTGTTGCGTTGTCCTAGAATCTGCACTCTTGTTTCTAGACAGATGCTATACATAAGGGCAGATTTGTTTGGCAAACAGTTAAGGTTGTATTTGGTAGCTAATAGTTCTCAGGTCAGGCATCTGTTGGCAGGAGTTATGTCTCAGGCCTAGATTTGGCCGGTGGGCCGCTCGGCTCTGCCAGGGGTTTTTAACTTGCTTCTCGGCAGGGCTCCCCAAACAACATTTGTTTACAAGCACACGGCCTGTTGAGATCCTGGTGTTGGCAGTCATCCGGGGCCGGAGCGGAGGAGATGACCTTTCTTACCACGGCCCGGCATGCTAACTTCAATTGAATTACATGCAAATATTTGCTTAGAAGATTCCGCCTACACAAAAACCAGTGCTGCCTGGAGTCAGTGTTGTACAGCCAGGAAGTGATGCGGCTTTTTGATGCTGCTCACGCTAAGCTGGATTCTTGTTGGCAGCTGCGATTAACCAAGCTAAAGCGGCTTGGGATGTGTGAAAAAAAAGACAAAAATAGTTCGCTACATGAGGGCTGTTTCGTCGGCTGGCACAGATATCAAGCCTTTCGAGTTTGAAGATTCTCACACTAGATAAAGGCAACACTTCTCATTTGGAGGCATTAATCAAAGTGCGATCATCACACTTCCTCTGACACGCTTCCCAGAGAATGCTGCCGTTCCATCTGCTAATGAACTGAGAGCGGGACCTTTGCACTGTGAGCTGTCACTGGTGACAAGTCTGTCGAGGACTTTATTACCTTTGCATTTTATAGCTGACTGTGTTTTGTAACTCACTGTTTTACAACTGTAAAGCTGTTGTGAATTATTGACAACTGTTTTTTTTTGTTTTTTTTCGGAAACTCAAGCTGTAAAATAAACAGTATGTAGATTTATCGCACTTCTTAGATGGTCCACAATGTACTCTGTGAAGCGTGGTAGATGAAATCTCTCACTAAGCTAAAAATAGGACTGTGAAATTTCACACAGAGGAAGGTTTCGCTGCTTTTGTGCTGTCATATAGGTCTGCACTAAATCGGCACACATTTTTACATTTCCTGTGTTGATTTTATGGGGAATATCTGTGGAATTAGATGGATTTTCATATATGGTGAAATGGGGTTTACACTTACATGTAACTGAAAGTATGATCAAATCAAGCCAAAATACAATATATTGAAAAACTGTAATAGATCTAATGGGACTGTTAAATACAGTAAAATGAAATATTTTTGGAAGTGAAAAAGTTGTGTAACCATGATGACGTCTTGTGTTTGTGTGTGTGACTACTTGTGGAAAAGCTACTTGCGATGAACTTTTATTCATCATGTGTCTTTCTCTTTACCACCAAAATTACATGTTGGCCAATAGTATGTTATAAGTAGCTGCAATAAGCTCACATGTCGGGGCATGTCAAAACATCTCAAGGGCCCCAAAATCACCTCAGACTTTGACTACCACTGTAGTTTGACTACTTTGATCTATCTACAAACTACATGTATTTATTTATTTATTTATTGAATGTAGTTTGACTACTTTAATCTATCTACAAACTACATTTATTTATGTATTTATTTATTGACTGTAGTTTGACTACTTTGATCTATCTACACACTACATGTATTTATTTATTTATTTATTAATTTATTTATTGACTGTAGCTTGACTACTTTGATCTTTCTACAAACTACATTTATTTATTTATGTATTTATTTATTGACTGTAGTTTGACTACTTTGATCTATCTACAAACTGCATGTATTTATTTATTTATTGACTGTAGTTTGACTACTTTGATCTATCTACAAACTGCATGTATTTATTTATTTATTGACTGTAGTTTGACTACTTTGATCTATCTACAAACTGCATGTATTTATTTATTTATTGACTAGTTTGACTACTTTAATCTATCTACAAACTACATTTATTTATGTATTTATTTATTGACTGTAGTTTGTCTACTTTAATCTATCTACAAACTACATGTATTTATTTATTTATTTATTTATTGACTATAGTTTGACTACTTTGATCTATCTACAAACTACATTTATTTATTTATTTATGTATGTATTTATTTATTTGTCATAAAGTTCTGGCAACCACAGTTTTTATTTTGTTTGTTTGTTTGTTTGTTTACAAACAAATTATGATATTCATTTTCATGCAAAAATGAATATCCTGTCATCATTTACTCACGTTTGTCCAAACCTAGATATAGATAGATAGATAGATAGATAGATGATATATAGATAGATATTTTTTCATCATAAATGTCTCTTTGTATTAAATTGCTTAATTCATATGGGTTGCTTTTATGATGTGTTATGATTCTTTTTGAAGCTTAAAAATGTTGGTTGTGGACGTTTAATGGATGGATAAAAATTAATATTAAAAATATCTTCATTCTGAATATGAGTTTGCATGACATGAGGATAAGCAAATGCTGACAGAATTTGAAGTTTTGGGTGTGTTACCCTTTTAAACTTCAGCAGAAAGATCCCATAACCTTACATTGAAAGAGAAATGCATGCCACATCTAAGGACCACATTATCATCGAAACTCAGCGATTCTTCAAAATAAACATGTGATGTGTGAATTACAGGCATTCAGATTCTGTGTAAATCTATGGGACATTCTGTGGCCAATGATTTTGCATGTGCCTACCTGTTTACGTGTATTTGGATATATATTCTCACTCACTGTCACACAGCATGACTATTTTGTTTGATGGATCCCCTGCTGATGTTTTTGTTTTGTCACCAATATAGATCAAAATTCCCTGTGCTGACCCTAAGGATTATTGAGAATCAATAACTCAAAGGGCCGCGTCTCCCGCCTGACTGAAAGTCAAACATTTAACAGGCTGCCAGACCGTTTAAGTGGCCCATCTACCCTCCACAATACCTCTCTTCTCCTGCAGGCCTGAAGATCAGGTTGCCAAGTATACCGTTTCAGGCTTTTAAGATAGGAATGATTACAGTTTTGTTTGAGCAAAAAGGATACAGTTACTTTTTGTTTGGAAGAAGAGAGGATGGGGAAAAAGGCTTTTTTTGCTTTTCTATCATGGGCTTCTATTGAGCTATTGGATCAGCGCCTGAGGGATCGTCCAGAGAACTTAAACACGATTTATCTCGTGGACACAGTCCGACACTTCTGTTGAGGAATATAAAGCCGGGTTTGATTTCAGCGCTCCACATATAGACAGATAGGAGGATTATTGTATTTATTTTTTTTATGTGTGCTCTCATATAATGACACCAAACACAGACGTATGGGAGGAAAACTGAAGAGCGAAAGAGAGAGAATTAGGAAAATCAACAATTGAATTTAAAGTTTTAGTTTGCAATAGGTTTTATGTGTTTATTCTATACAGGATGTAAGTTTTATGAGCTTTTCTTATTTTCTAATCCCTACAGTGCAACAGGAACTAGAAACAGTATAAAGTCTGTCTCAAATGTATATAATATATAATATCCCAGATATTATTTGCACTGTAGCCACACAGTATATATGAATCATTGCATAAGACAGACAAAAAAAAATAATAAACAAATTGCATGATACCTCATTTTAACAGCAAAAAAAATATGCAAAAGCACTAAGTATCTGAGATTTGCATATAGAATAATCAAATTTGTTCTTTTAGTTTGGATGTTTTTTTAATGAAGTTGATCCAGTTCACAAAAGCAGTCTGAATGGTTCGTATACGATTTGGACTGATCTGGTTCTCACTGATCCAGTAAATTTGGTCCTTAAATTTTTCCTCAAAGCTGTTTTTTTGCATCAGATAACTTGGTATATAGTTCACATATTGCATGGACAATATTTATGATATTGTTCTTGTAATACATTGCTTGTGTGTCATTTCTTCAAGCTCACTTCCTTTTAGTAGACATACTACGGGTTTAGTCTCAAATAGTTTTTTTTGTTTGTTTTTTAGCATCCATAAATACCCTACAATTAAATAAATGCTGAAAAAAAAACATTTGAGGTTAATAAATGTAACTAGCAATAATGTTTCACAACATAATATTTTATTATTATTTTAATTTTTATTGTATTTTTAAAAAGTATTAAAATATTGTACTTTTTAAATATATAGAAAAATACTTGTAATTTATTTACATTTTTAATTATAATTTAGGTTTATTTTTTTATTATGAAATTTTATTGCACACACACATATATATACAGTATGTATTATATATAGCCACTTCAGGTTATGCTTTATAGTGATTTTAAGGTACAAAAATGACTCTTACCCAGTGAAATCTGTGTAATGCTTTATTTAGCAATATACACTCAATATTGCAATACCACTCTTGCCACGTAGAGTTTAAACTCCATTTGAACTGTAAAACTATAATATAACATTGTGAATATGTAACAAAGTTATTCTAAGTAGTATCAGTGTTTTATGGACAAATGATATAAACCATAAAAATATGTCATACTTGTTGAATGATGTCATGTCTGGGACTTTATGGGAAGGAGGTAAATCAGGACAGATTACACCATGCATTTTTCATCTGCAATAATTAGGTTGGACAAACATTGAAGTACGTCATTGTTTTCTCAAAGCGATCAGCTAGTTAAGATGAAAGACATTCTCTCTGATTGTCTCTGCCACTGAAGTTTAGAATATTTCATATTTCTGAATTGCTTTTCCTCTGAACAGTATGAAACTCATTCAAGTAATTAGCACAATATGATATCTTCATTTAATTAGGAATCGCTGAGGGGTTAGACTTATCAAATACAAGTCTCAAGTATATAGACTTGGAAACTTTAAAAAGACAATTACAGCACATTGCATCAGGGCTTCGCTGCATCACGCAAGAAAATACATTTTCGGCTTGATTTGAGGTGAAATGTAAGGTGAGATGTAACTGTTTTGTTCTCAGCTCCGTCTCCTGTAACTGTGGTGAAGAAAGGCAAGACGGCAAAGAATAGCATCTCGGTGTCCTGGCAGGGACCCGACCGACCCAACGGCATCATCCTGGAGTATGAGATCAAGTATTTTGAGAAGGTAAATACCGCATGCTGTAAACAGGCACAGGTTACATTGCACGCCAAAATCAAAAGAAACAAAGAAAGAAAAGTCTAGGATATTTAGAGAGGTATAGAGTACACTACAGGTCAGAGGTCTCTTCTGCTCACCAGGACTGCATTTATTTGATTAGAAAATACGGTAAATACAGTAGTATTGTCAAATATTGTTACAGTTTAAAACAGCTGTTTTCTATGTGAATATATGTTTATTCCTGTGATCAAAGCTGAATTTTCAGCATCATTCCTCCAGTCTTCAGAGTCACATGATCCTTCAGAAATCATTCTAATATGCTGATTTGCTGCTCAAGAAACATTTCTGATTATTATCAATGTTAAAAACAATTGCGCTTATTCATATTTTTGAGGAAACCATGATACACTGCCATTCTAAAGTTTTTGTAAGATTGACAAAAAAAAGTAAAAATATTCATTTGATGCATTTTTGCTGAATAAAAGTGACAGTAAAAACATTTATAATGTTGCAAAAGACTTTTGTTTATAAATAAATGCAGCTATTTTGAATTTTCTATTCATCAAGTAATCATGAAATAATCACTGTTTTTGTTTAAATTTAAGTAAACGTTTATTTGGGGGGAACCCCCCCACTTGCTTGCTTATTTATTTATTTATTTACATTTTGACAGAAGCCCTCAACCCAAAATGATGCAAATCCAGTGATCATGTTTTACAGCCTCATTCGAGAACTAAATGGTCCAGAAATCTGATCTTTGTCAGCTGGCATTGTCAGTGTCACTAATTTGCTTACATTTGATTAGAAAAAGTGTAGACTATCCCCTTCTTCATCTTTCTTTTATATTTTGGCCACCATGCTCTAATAATGTACTGGCCGTTCTTTTCCATTTCAGTTTCAGTGATTGGGAACAAAATCTGAGATTTGCTAAGTATCTAATTTATCAACAAATCATTATTTAATTTGGATATTTTGAATGAAATTCTGAACGTTTCGTTCTTCTGATCCTCAAGTGATTCATTGAGCCAGTTCCAGCATTTAACCGCTCACTAGAGATTAAGATCAACGGATAACAACTTAAATTTGGTTACACACAAAGCGGTTTTTGCCATCAGACGATTTCGAGAAGTCGTATAGACTATGTTTATGATAATGTTCTGATAGTAGTACATTGCTTTCAGCCATAGTTTTCCTAAAGCACTTTAATGAAATTTGTGTTTTGCAGACAATCCTTCCGAATCTGCCAAGTTTGTGTCTTTTGCAACACAACCTCTGTAAAATCTTTGCTTGTCTTTACTAAATCCTGACAGTAGTTTAACACCAAAAGAGGGTTAGTGCTTGTGCAAAATGTTAGTAAATCTGGCCTTTGGTGTCCTTTTTCAAGCTTGAACTCTCTATTCCACAGTCAATGTAAATGCATGGAAAAGAGCAACCAGTATATAATTCAAAATAATTCCAGAAGACAGAAAGTCATATGTCTGTGCACCAACATGAGTTCGAGTAAATGATGACATGATTCATCCTCTAATGAAGTGACGTTACAGCAGCAGGGTTGTCGTTGGGCGTCTCAGTCGACCACCCCACTGGCGACAACCCTCACAAAGCCCGAAACTTAATCTGCTCTCCGATCGCCCTCTCTGATTGCTCCTCACCTTGCAGCATTTGCCGGTTGCTTTGTTGAGCCATTTAAAGACAGAATACGGCTGAAAACGAGCCTCAGCTCCTCATGACCTCAGTGTTTTGGACTGTTCTGTGAAACACTGATACGATGCACTTAGAAAACGAAAAAAGCTATGACGACCCACAGCCACTCTTATGCAAGCTAATGGACGGAGCACTTAACACAGGGCTTTAAAACAAAGCCAATGAAGAAACCGATCCTCACTACTGGCCACAACACACACACACACACACACACTTTGCCGTTCTCTCATGAGATGTGAGGCCTTTATCCTTCGTTTTCTCCCTCTCTGACCGTTTTTGTCTTCTCTTTTCTTCTGGTGGTTCTGTAGGATCAGGAAACAAGCTACACCATCATAAAGTCAAAGGAGACGGATGTTTTGCTGGATGGCCTTAAACCTTCCTCAGCGTACATCTTTCAAATCAGAGCGCGCACCTCCGCGGGCTACGGAGGCTTCAGCCGCCGCTTTGAGTTTGAAACAAGCCCTTACTGTAAGTGAAAAATAAAACAAACAAACCAAAAATAAAATAAGATTTAAATGGATGAGCCACATTCAAAGTCATTGAAAGTCTGAACGTTTCGTTCTTCTGATCCTCAAGTGATTCATTGAGCCAGTTCCAGCATTTAACCGCTCACTAGAGATTAAGATCAACGGATAACAACTTAAATTTTGGTTACATTCCTCACACAAAGCGGTTTTTGCCATCAGACGATTTCGAGAAGTCGTATAGACTATGTTTATGATAATGTTCTGATAGTAGTACATTGCTTTCAGCCATAGTTTTCCTAAAGCACTTTAATGAAATTTGTGTTTTGCAGACAATCCTTCCGAATCTGCCAAGTTTGTGTCTTTTGCAACACAACCTCTGTAAAATCTTTGCTTGTCTTTACTAAATCCTGACAGTAGTTTAACACCAAAAGAGGGTTAGTGCTTGTGCAAAATGTTAGTAAATCTGGCCTTTGGTGTCCTTTTTCAAGCTTGAACTCTCTATTCCACAGTCAATGTAAATGCATGGAAAAGAGCAACCAGTATATAATTCAAAATAACTCCAGAAGACAGAAGGTCATATGTCTGTGCACCAACATGAGTTCGAGTAAATGATGACATGATTCATCCTCTAATGAAGTGACGTTACAGCAGCAGGGTTGTCGTTGGGCGTCTCAGTCGACCACCCCACTGGCGACAACCCTCACAAAGCCCGAAACTTAATCTGCTCTCCGATCGCCCTCTCTGATTGCTCCTCACCTTGCAGCATTTGCCGGTTGCTTTGTTGAGCCATTTAAAGACAGAATACGGCTGAAAACGAGCCTCAGCTCCTCATGACCTCAGTGTTTTGGACTGTTCTGTGAAACACTGATACGATGCACTTAGAAAACGAAAAAAGCTATGACGACCCACAGCCACTCTTATGCAAGCTAATGGACGGAGCACTTAACACAGGGCTTTAAAACAAAGCCAATGAAGAAACTGATCCTCACTACTGGCCACAACACACACACACACACACACACTTTGCCGTTCTCTCATGAGATGTGAGGCCTTTATCCTTCGTTTTCTCCCTCTCTGACCGTTTTTGTCTTCTCTTTTCTTCTGGTGGTTCTGTAGGATCAGGAAACAAGCTACACCATCATAAAGTCAAAGGAGACGGATGTTTTGCTGGATGGCCTTAAACCTTCCTCAGCGTACATCTTTCAAATTAGAGCACGCACCTCTGCAGGCTACGGAGGGTTCAGTCGCCGCTTTGAGTTTGAAACAAGCCCTTACTGTAAGTGAAAAATAAAACAAACAAACCAAAAATAAAATAAGATTTAAATGGATGAGCCACATTCAAAGTCATTGTAAAATAAAAATATATGTATTGTAAAAAGCGAATTTGATGCTTTCAGATTTTTTTCTTTTTTAAGTTATCTCCGCTATCGTCTTTAAAAAATTGTCAATTTCAATGTTTTTGTTCACTAAATGCAAAATGCCTCATTCAACCAATTCATTAAGGCAATTATGAATTTTTTGTTTAGCAAATGTTCAGTTCATAACACAATGAACTGATTCTGATATATGTTCAGTGGCAAGAAAATGTATGTGAACCCATTGGGATTGGTTGGTTTTCTAGATTGATTGGTTATTAAAAATCATCTGATCTTCATCAAAGTCACAAGTATAAACAAACAATGTGCTTAAGCTAACAACAAACAAACAATTATAATCTTTCATGTCTTTATTAAACACGCCCCATTCATAGTGCTGTGAAAAACGTATGTGAACTTTATCTTGCTTGCATTTTTCCATCTGCCATTTTCTGCATATTGATTTACTTTGTTGAGCATCAGTGGAAGTTTTTACCCTTTATAATATTTGTAGGTAGGTGTATGAGTCCATCAGTTGTCACCAGTATAAAAAGATGGATCGCAAAATCATATAGTCACTATTGTAAAGTGTTCAAATATGCAGAAAATGCTATATGTGATGCTATGCTTGTGACTTTGATTATTGATTATTATAGTTATTGTATGCACAAAATGTCACCTACAAAGCAAAGACATATAGGATGCTTTGGAAAATTGTACATAGACCTCAACAAACTTCTATTGTTGATGCACATAAAAAGAGCATATAAAAGGATGAGCTCTCAACGCAATGAATAACTAACAAAAAAAAAAAAAAATCAACAAAAGTCAGCAAAGAGTGAAACAATAATCCAATAACATTAACAGCATTATTCATATCGCAGTGCATGCTGGGAACGCACACACCCATTTCACCAATATTGTTCAATTTAAAATTCTTTGTTCAGACAACTGTGTTTGACTAGTTGGGACAACATTAGGGAGAATTCTGCTGCTCTAACATGGGTTTTTATGTTTCATTTAATTCATATTTGAGCAACTCTTAAAGGCAGAGTAAGCGATTTCTGGTAGCCAATGTTGATATTTGAAATCACCAAAACAAACACGCCCCTACCCCAAAATGGTCTTGCCCTTATTTTGATAGCTCCGCCCCACATATACGTACGCAACCCAGGCAACGATTAGTTCTGTGAAACAAAGCAGTAGACACGCCCCTTATTGCTGATTGGCTACAAGTTTGTTTTGCTATTCGGCCCAAATCAGTTTTCTAAAGTGTTTTTGAAAAATCACATACCCTGCCTTCAACCAGTTGCATATTAGCATGCATATTACTAGCATATTGGCCGTATTAATGGCTTATTCTGCATGACCATAGATTAGATCCCTTAATCCTGCACCATACCTAAACTTAACAGCTTCCTTACTAACTATTAATAAGCAGCAAATTAAGAGTTTATAGAGGCAAAAGTCATAGTTAATATGCCACACAGTGTTGGCTGTGTGTAATAATTGATATTTCACAGTACAGTTAAAGTGAATTTAGCAGGAAACAAGGTAGTGATTGTGATGAAATGGCACAAAGCTGCTCTCAAACCGTGCTCTTGTCTCTCTCTTGTGTCTGTGTTCCAGCAGTAGCGGCCTCCAGTGATCAGGGTCAGGTGCCCATCATCGCTGTCACGGTCACTGTGGCCATCATCCTCGTCGCCTTGGTCACAGGTTTCCTGATAAGTGGCAGGTAAGAAGACACCATAACAGTGATTATCACATTTGCGCACTGTGCACAGAAAATCTCAGTCTGTCATGTTACTTTAAAGTAGTGAATAAGCATTTATATGGACAAAACGCATCTGGAAAACAGAAAAGTGAGCTGCTACAGGAAAAGTGCGTGATATAAACATGATGAGACATGCTTTATATCAAGCGCTTCAAACAAACTCATACTAAGTATTTAGCGCGGCTTGCCCTGTCAGGTGCTTAGACAGATATGTGTGATCTTTGATGCATTTAGGGGTGGGGGGGAAAATATGCATTTAATATGCTGCATGCTATTGTCCTCGCTGGCTAGAGGAAACAAACGGAGCCATGTTCTGTCTATCTATAATAAACAGTCTGCAATTTACTGGAATTATGCTGGAAGTGCAGTAGGTGCAGATGTAAACTTGTTCATTTTTGTTTGCGCTCATGAAAATGCTACGTTTTGTTTTTTTTAATATATGGAATATTGAGTTTGAAATCTAAAGAGAGATTGTCTGAAAATAAATAATTTCCTGTGCCCAGGGACTATACGGGAACCTAAGTCGTAAACGTTTGATTTAACATCTCACAACATTTTACCTCTGAAGAACATGTTCTGCTAGTGTTAGAGTTAACATTAGCATTGGAATCCGTAAGCATTTCCATTCGTTCCTGATGGAAGTACACAACTTAACATTTTATTTCATCAAAATACACAGCTATTATGAAAAAGAAGTACACTCTAGCATACTTATTACTTAGTTATTGCAATTAAATTTCAATCTAACATGGATTAAATGTATATTCAATGCAATTAGCTGAACTTAATAGTGCTTTTTTGACCCAAATAGGATTTAAGTATTTAAATGTAATTTCACAATAATTTCTATTGTCATTGAAAAAGTAATTAATTCTATTGTCATTTATAGGTAACTAAAATATATTTGAATGTAATTTCTATTCACTCTTGTATGTCATGTATTTAGATATTTGTAATTACACATTTGTAAAGATGAAGTTGCAATTAACACACTACAGTTAAAATTATAATCAAGTAGGCCTACTTTACATGTGCTAGTTAGTCAGACTAAGTGTACTTTAAAGTACAATTATTGAAAGATTAAAACAAATATTTAAAATGTACATTAATGTTTATTACTTATTACTATGTTATTACAGCATTATTACTGCATTATTACAAAGTGCACTTTTTAAAAGCGTACTTACGTTTGTTAAGATAATCATGAAAGTGTCTCTCTTAAACGGCCTTTTATTTTATTAATATTATATTATATGCAAGTACAGTTTTTTTTTTATAATATACTTGAAGTACACTACAAGTGCACACGTATCACAATCAAGCAAACTTTTTCAAGGGTTTGAATGTCTGTCAGTGGAGAACGGGCTAACTAGCCAATGCTAACCTCGAGCAATGTTCGTCTCTCCTCACCCTTCACCCTTGAACTGAACCACAGCCTTTAATTCAATGCTGTCAAGTCCTCCTCGAGATTGACAATTGGCACGAGAGCAAAACCTCAAACAGACATCAGCAGGCTGAATGCCTCAGAAGCCTCGAGATTGCCACTTGAAAGGCAGTTGAATTGTTTAAGCAAGGGTTAGGATGTCCCTCAAGGGTGCGACCGTTTCAGGCAATTACTCTTAAAGTGTGTATCAGTGTATCATGCGGGCCACAGCCTCGACACTTCCGTCACCTTTCATGTCGCAGATGGGTTTGAAGCACGCTTTCTCCTGCAGGAAGCAATCAGGGTTGTTAATAGCCTTCTTGGCCTTACTAGGTCAAGACGTATTCATGAATGAGCTGCAAGGGCACCGTCAGAAGCCTATTACCCCAGGCTGACTGGAGAACAGGCTCCTGCTGGACAGGGCTGTTAGTAAAGCTGTCAGAGAACCATCCTCGCAGACATTTGAAGGTGATGGTGCGAAGGTTTTGGGTTGAGTCGAGGACACTGGCTGAGAATGTACACAATATCACACTTTAGTTTGATGTCACTTCTTCACATATGCAAGAAATATTCATGTACAGAAAGGTACCGACATTCTACCATCATTAAAGGTACCATTCAAAAGGGTTGGGGTTATTTATTTATTTATTTATTAATGTATTTATTTGTTTACTTTCATCAAGACTACATTTATTTTATTTAAAAATACAGAAATATTATGACATATTATTATCATTTAAAATACCAGTTTTCTAATTTAATATATAGTGAAACGTAATTTATTTCTTTGATGCAAAGCTGGATTTCCAGCATCATTACTCCAGTTTTCAGAGTCACATGATCCTTCAGAAATCATTCTGATATGCCGATTTACTGCTCAAATCAACCAATCTATAACTGTTAAAAACAGTTAATATTTAATATTTTTGTGCAAACGCTGATGCTTTTTTTCCATGGTTCTTTAATGTAACGAAAGTTGACAAAGAACACAATTCTGAACAATACTTTTATTATTGTAAAATAGACTATTAGTGTTTCTTTTATGCTAGTAAAAACAGTAATATTGTCAAATATGTATACATGCAGCCTTATAAAGCTTATACTAATCATAAGAGTAGCCTTTCTTCTAGTTGGGATTTTGGTTTTATAGCTTAATATGTCAGACTGAGTGACAGCACAGAGGTCCAATCATTTTCTCAGAAGAAAGTGGAGCACAGGAAGAGGCGGGGCTTCAGGGTCGACGTGCTGGTCAGACTCATCAGCTCTACATGTGTGTCTCCCCTGAGACTGCAGCCATACAGCCAAATCCCACGGGATTCACACACATTCATTCACGCTCATTCACACCTAAACAGAGAAGGGTCGGCCTGAAAGGGAAATGGCTTGTTTGGAATTTGGGCCATAAACTGGGCCATAAACTGATATTCATAGTAAGCATCCGGTAAATGGTATTTTATAGACTGTGGGAGAACTCATAATCAAATACTAGTGTACTGCATTATATATACTGAAAGCTACCAAGGAAATAGTATGTGATGTGCATATGCACTATGTCAAGTACACAATCACATTTATTTTTGCATATTGCATACTGTTTTCCTGGCAGCATGCACTCTATATTATGGAGTACTAGAATAATATTTGAAACTATTATTATTAATCATACTATTAATAACAATTAACACTACCATTTGTTTAAAACATTGTCATTTTGGTATCAGTGTTTTTACTGTTTTTTTTTTATCTTCATATTTTCTGTTGTTATTTTACTTATATGTAAGCTTATTATATTTGATTTCAATTCAGTTTGTTTGTTTATTTAATTAGTTAGTTAGTTTTAATCCTGGATTAAAATTGTAATCAAATTAATCACACTAATTAATTTTATTACAGTTAATAACATTTGTCATATATAATTTTATAGCAATAATTTCAAATCAGTACTAAAATCTAAATCCTATTTTATCTTTTATGATGATAATTAATATGTTATGCACTAATAATTGCATTTTCACTTAACTTATTTGCAAACTAGAAGATAATATACAGTGATCATGTACAGGTGGTCAAATAATTTTACTATGCGGGCTGTACTGTATCTCAGGTCTGTAGTGGATATCGCTTTGTTTCTGCAGTTCATTGTGTCTGAATGTTCACTTTCTCATTTCACACATACAAACACTCTGCTGGCAGATAAAGCAGTGATGCATTGGGTTCGCTTAAGACTGCTGTCATACTGCATGTGTGTGTGTTTGGATAGTGTCCTCTGGAGGATTCTTGTGCTGAAAGCAGATAAAACCATTACCCTCCCCGTATCCACTCGTTCAATTAGCAGCATTGCATCTAAAAATGAGAGTAAACGAGTGCAGGGTTGATGTCTGTTTATACATCACAGACAACTGCGATGTATAAACAATAACACAGCTTTTCTTTTTCACAGACGTTGTGGCTACAGCAAAGCCAAGCAAGATCCAGACGAGGAGAAGATGCACTTCCACAATGGACACAGTAAGTCTAACTGAAACAGACAGACAGACACGTCTGGGGTCAGCCAGAGTTCAGTGGGCTACAGTCTCATCCTATCATAAACTTATAAATGACGTCAGGACAGGATTTATTTATTTTTTTTCACAAACCATCATCCTATGTGTGAATATAGTACATATTTTGTATATATTTTATATATTAAACAATAAATATTGCCAAACATTCAAAACAGAAGATATAATTCATTTAGAAAATATAAATATATTTTCAAATATATTTCCACAGTATTAATAATTATTATTAATGATGCCGTGTTGCATAATAATAATAATAATAATAATAATAATAATAATAATAATAATAATTGTTTAGTAACATTGCAGTAACTGGGACACCCATCTGTAATCTGTAATCCGAAAACCTCACTGGCCCATTAGGCTACAACCACACTATCCACGTAGCCAATAATACGACACACAGACATGTGGCATATTTTGGTGTATTCTTATTATGTAGTCCTAAAGCAATCCATCAATGTGTTGTGCTTGGCGCAGCAGGGAAGAACAAACACGGTCTCTAGAGATGAACCCTCAAACAGCATCTCCTGCGTGCATCCTCTTACGGTACATCACATGACCCAACCCCAGAGCTGTGAGCAACATTTCCTCCTCTATGTCTCTGTTTCTTGTCCTCTCTCTCTTCATCACAGTCAAATTCCCAGCGGTCCGCACGTATATCGATCCTCACACCTACGAAGATCCCAACCAGGCCGTCCACGAGTTCGCCAAGGAGATTGATGTGTCCTGTATCACCATTGAGCGGGTTATTGGAGCCGGTGAGTGAGTTATGAGCGACTAAAACAAAACAGGCCTTAGGAACAGAATTACAGTTAGCTTGCATGGTGAACATTCACTGCTGAGAAGGAGAATTTGAGACGTTTGGAGCGTTTGGACTGACTGTGCAGCGTTTTGTATGAGATGAAATCTGTTTAGATACTGTGGATCATTATGTTGGATAAATTATGCTCGATAAACTGCCTAACAACACCCTAGCAACCACCCAGAATGTCCTAGCAACCACATAGCATTCTATCTTCTACTTAGAGGAATAGTTCACCCAAAATGAAAATGTGCTGTTAATTTACTCACCCTCAGGCCATCCAAGATGTAGGAGACTTTTGTTCTTCAGTAGAACAGTTAAGAAGATGTGGTCACACTTTATTTTAAGGTCCAGTTTTTGCTATTAACAAACCATTAACTATGACTTTTGCCTCAATAATAGTTAGTAAGGTAGTTGTTAAGTTTAGGTATTGGGTAGGATTAGGGATGTAGAATATGATCATGCAGAATATGTGCTTTATAAGTACTAATAAACAGCCAATATGTCAATAATAGGCATGCTAATAAGCAACTAGTTAATAGTGAGAATTCGTCCCTAAAGTAAAGTGTTACCGAATATTTTTAGCTAAAACTGTGGTTCTTGATGATTCATTAAATGCATAGGTGATTCATAAAAAGTCAATGGCTGCCCATCTTTGAGAATATAAACAAGCATACCAGGCAAGACAAAATTAATACCCGTGGCTCCTGATCATATATCGAGGTCTTATGAAGCAAAATGATCGGTTTGTGCAAGAAACTGAACATTATTTACAACATTATTAATTGAGAGCCTCAGACGAACGGTCTGGAGTGATGTCAGGTTCAGACTTTATTCATTCAGAAGGAAGTTCATCCCTCAGTAGCTTTGCACTTTGTCGCTTTCCGAGGGAAATCTGCCTGAGCACAAATGAGGCGCTTCATTGTCTGGCTCTTTGCTGCCGCGGTTCACTGATGGCTCTGCCTCGCGGTTGCAGGTGAGTTCGGTGAGGTGTGCAGCGGTTTGCTGCGGCTGCCAGGGAAGAGAGAGATCCCAGTGGCCATTAAAACTCTGAAAGCCGGTTACACCGAGAAGCAGAGGAGGGACTTCCTGGGCGAGGCCAGCATCATGGGCCAGTTCGACCATCCCAACATCATCCACCTCAAGGGGGTCGTCACTAAGAGTGAGTGCTAGGAGGTCTCTGAAAATTATTGTTTCTGTATTACCCTGTAAAATATGTTAACCTGTAATTGTTATCTTGTTCTTGATTTTACCCCTCAGTTTAGTTTTGTTGGTGTAACCTAAAACATGTTTGGGTTGATTAAGTAATGTTAAATAATGTTTTTGATTCAAATAAAAGAAGTTAAATTGTTACCACGTGACGCACATTTTTATGTTACCAGTTATATATTATGTGTCATATAATAGTAACATAACAAAGACCTTGAAGCTGAAATGCGTGTGTTTTATTTCTGCAAGGTAAACCAGTGATGATAATAACAGAATATATGGAGAATGGATCCCTGGACACCTTTTTGAAGGTACATTTCTGCTTTTCTCAGTCAACAAAGACACTAATGTGACATGGTCAACAAACATTGTAATAAATGTCAATAAACATCAATAAATTATATATCATTCATCATTGTATGAAATTTATGGACATGTCATGAAAAAAAAAACGAGATGATTAGTTACACTTTATTTGAACATGTTCCTTGTTACAGTGTAATTACACAAATAATTACTGAGTAATATGAATTAATCGTGTATTACGAGGTTTCAAGTTGGTTTAGTGTTAGTTGCTTTAATTATTCATAATTTACTGCTATTACTATAGTATATGTAACGTTTAAAAGGGACACTTTAAAGTGATATCTTTGTTATAATGAAAAAAAGGTTGTATTTTATTTATTTATTTATTTATTTATTTATGTGTCACTAGTGTTTTGTGATTGAGCAAATCCATACAAATTGTACTTAATTATTGTATTGCGTTTTTGTGCATCAAATTAAATATAAATATATTAATCTTATTTTGTTATGATGAAACGTGTTTATATAAGTGTTTTAAATTGTAGTTTTTGTGTATGTATATATATATATATGCATACAAATATATATATATATATATATATATATATATATATATATATATATATATATATATAAACACACATACAGTGGGGAAAATATAAACATTTTTTAGATTTATATACATACACATACATACACAGGGCCTTGCAAAATATACTTTTTCCTTTATATAGATATATAATTATGTTTGAATTAATATATGTATCATTTATTTTGAATTAATTTATTTAAACTCACCAAACACTTAATAGCAGCTTTTTGTGTGCACTTCATCAAAAGCTACTCCCCTCAGTTTGTGCGGTGAGCCATTCTTTCTGAAGTATAAGCATTTAGTTTGATGTATTGCTCTCATATTTGTGTCTTTACTGCTCCAACAGAAGAACGACGGTCAGTTCACTGTCATCCAGTTGGTCGGCATGCTGCGTGGCATTGCTTCTGGCATGCGCTACCTCTCTGAGATGGGCTATGTGCACCGTGACCTGGCTGCCCGCAACATCCTGGTCAACAGCAACCTGGTGTGTAAGGTGTCCGACTTCGGCTTGTCGAGAGTGCTGGAGGACGACCCAGAGGCGGCCTACACAACCCGCGTACGTGCTACAGAAGATAAACGCTGAGCCACGCTAACAGCTAACCTACTACTCCTTGCATCTATTAGCTGCCTCACAGCAGCGCTTTGTTTTAAACCTACATTCAAACCCAGTGCCACTAGCACCCTACTTTTCAGTACTGTTCCATTCCTGCTCTCTGATAATGCACTAACGTATTGAGCTGGACACTTCCATCTCAGGGTGCATTACAGGCTTTATTACACACTATACGATCATCTGCTGCATCCTCCACAATTCATTAGTGTCCATAGTTCAGGGATCAACCCTGAACTATGGACACTAATTTCCACCACAGAATTGTCAGAAATAAGTTTATATTTCGCACATGCAAGTTATAAATTTGTAATTCTGAGTTTACAGCTCACATTTCTGACTTTATTTTGATTCTGACAATTGCAACTTTTTTATCTCACAACTCTTACTTTTTTTCTCACGATCCTGACTGCTTTTTCTCACAGTTGCTAGCTTGTATCTCATAAGTATGACTATTTTTCTCACAATTGCATGTTTATGTCACAATTCTGACTTTTCTTCACAGAATTGTAAGTTAACATCTCACAGTTCTGACATTCATTCATTCAGTCATTCTGTGGCAAAATAATATTCCATTCTGAACTGATCTGTGAAGTCAGGAAATAAAAAAAAAATAATAAAATAAAAAATTAAGAATTTTTTTAAGAAGTACAACCCTAAACATTCTTAAAAAGTAAAAAATGAAAAATACCTCAAAGACCGTGTTTTTGCGCAGCCTGCAAATTACCACAATAATCATAATAAGTATGCATTATTTTCATTGCAACTGGCTTGGCAGGAGTGTAATACTCATTCCAAGATGTTCGTAAGAATGTTACTAAGTTCAACTTTTCAAAAATTCTTTAAGAAGTTTTCAAGAATTGTCTTAACATGACAGGCTGTGGCGTTTTGCACAGCGTTCTTGCCAAAGACTCAATGAATTCAATAAAATTACCTCGAATGCCATGTTTTTGCACAGCCTGCAGATTACTGTAAGAATCATGAGTGTGCAACTCCTGAAAAATTCTTAAAGGGGTCATATGATGCGATTTCAAGTTTTCCTTTCTCTTTGGAGTGTTACAAGCTGATTGTGCATAGATAAGATCCCTGAAGTTGCAAAGACTAAAGTCTCAAATCCAAAGAGATATTCTTTATCAAAGTTAAGACTCTGCCACGCCCCCCTAAAACGGCTCATTCTAACACGCCCCCACATATCTACCCCACTATGTGGAAATATCTGCAATAATGTACAGTATTTGAAAAATAATGTGTTTTTTGAACATTAAAGCATGTCAACATATTCTGTTACACCAAATACACAAAATAATGATCTTTAAAAAAGCATCATATGACCCCTTTAAGTATTCTTAAGAACATATTTTTTCTTAAGAAAAAAAAGAAAAAAGAGAGGCTTTGGTGTTATCTGATTGTATGCTGATTCTTCTTGAAGACTCATTGATTAGCTCAATGAATATTGAAACCTTGTATGTAATTAAGTCGCTGTAGGTAGTTATATGTTTATGCATTGCTTGCAGATTACCATACTAATCATAATAAGTGCACACACTATTTTCATTGTGACTGGCTTGACAGGAATTAAGTGTTCTGTGTCACACTTTTTTATATTTTAAATCATTATTTTTAAATGCATTCATTCCCACTTAGTTTTTCTAGCTGTATCTCTAGAAGGAATAAGTCCTGTATGTAAGCATTGCATTGCAAGAAGCAAATGCAAAGTGGCAGTTAAGAACTATTTTATTTTTAAGAATAGTTTGTGAATTTGTCCCCAAATAACATGTGCAAATAACATTGAAGTGCCCCTAATTTATTCTTGTTGAATATTCTGACATTTAAAACATATGTTGCTAAATCACACTAGGAAATTGTTTCTTTTTTTTTTGCCTCAAAACCAGTGAAATTTTGCCAGAGCAAGAACAAAAATATTCAACAGTGAAAACTAATTATTGTTGAGCCCTGAAAATGGAACTGCCTTATTCTGAAAGAGGATAATTAGAAATTTGGTGGTAGCTGTCATAGTTAGCATAGCATAGCGTTCTTTGTCATCTGTTTCTTGTTTTGGTGTGTCACACTGAGGGAAGCGTTTTATGGCTGTGTGAACTGTCGGCGAAGTAAATTAAGTCATGTCTCCTCAGTGCTGTCAGAGATGGAGTGTGCTAACACCGGGACAGTCAATTAGCGATTAGCATGCAGCAGCCGTCCACAGACCTAATGCTTCCTGTCACATTTCACAGCCTGACACCATTCCTTCCCAGCGATAATCACCTGTTAAGATGCTCTGACAAGACACGTTTCTGATGTGACATGTGGATTTCAGCGTGCTGTTTGTCTTGCAGGGAGGAAAGATTCCCATCAGGTGGACGGCTCCAGAGGCCATCGCCTACAGGAAGTTCACCTCAGCCAGTGACGTGTGGAGCTACGGCATTGTGATGTGGGAAGTGACGTCGTACGGCGAGAGACCATACTGGGAGATGAGCAATCAAGACGTAAGTCGAAATAAACCCAGAATTCTATTAAACTGCGGTTCATGTGGTCTTATTGGCACTACATTGTGTCTTTATAAGTGAAAATTAATTTTAAACACAATATTGTCAATATTGTATGTTTTGTTCAAATTCGCAAACAAAAATAGTTCCAGTCAAAGTCACAGAAGAATTGTTGTCTTTCCGAGCAACACACAGAAGTGTTTCATTACTGAATGAATCCACAGTTTTGAATGAATCGAGTGAAGGAATGATTCAGTGACTCATTCATAAAGACAGTCACTTGCTTTGTTTCTGAATGAATCGGCTGTTTGAATGAATCGAGTGAGTCAATGATTCAGAGACTCATTCATAAAGACAGTCATTTGCTTCGTTTCACAAGAATGCTGTTTTTCCCCCCATATATCTGCATGATTGCAAATGTGATACTGATTTCATATAATAGTTGAATAAAGATAAAGTGAATATAATATATAAAGTTATTATTGTGTTAAATTTTAGACTTAATATTTTCTGTTTTGCTCAATTTCACAAACAAAAACAGTTCCAAACAAAGCCACAGCAGACCTGTTTTGAGTATCCAATCAACATACAGTGATGTTTCCTAACTGAATGAGTTTGCATTTTGAACGAATCGAGTGAGTCAATGATTCAGTGATTATTTTATAAATACAGTCACTTGCTTTGTTTCTGAAGGAATTGGCCATTTGAACAAATCAAGTGAGTCATTGAATCAGTGACTCATTCATATAGACAAGTCATTTGCTTTGTTTTATGAATGAATTGGCTTTTTGAATGAATCGTGAGCCAGTGATTCAGCGACTCATTCATAAAGACAGGGACTGTGTCCGAAATCGCATACCCTCTTGAATAGGTACTTTTTTGAATAAGTAATTACTTCACGGCCGCAAAAAGAGAATGCTCTATATAGTATGAATGTGTGTAGTATGAATGTATTCTGGACGAACTACGGTACATTAGCCATGTTGTCATTGTCATGTGACCCACCAGCATCAGTTGCATCGCGTCACTGATATTCATAAATCCTCTCCCGTGGCCTCATGGGAGAATAAGTGTCCATCATGCACACTTCAGAATCACGCCAGAAGTAGTAGGACATCCGGGTACTTTTTGCCTACTCTTTTATGAGTACTGTGAATTCGGACATACTTATTTTGCCACATACCTGTTTTCGCCTGCTATATAGTAGGGAAGTATGCGATTTCAGATGCAGCCAGTCACTTGCTTTGTTTCGGAATGATTGGCTGTTTGAATGAATCAAGTGAGTGAATGATCCAGTGACTCATTCATAAAGACAGTTACTTGCTTTGTTTCGGAATGAATCAGCCCTTTGAATGAATCAGATGAATGCATGACTGAATGACTCATTTATTAAGGTAGTGACTTGCTGCCACCTACTGGTGTTTTTTATTTTTTTATATTTAGAGCATCTTTTTTTATCATTTCATATTTCAGTATGAAAAAAAACGTCTATTTAATGTTTTTAATCATTTAAAACAATAATGATTTTAAATGATCTTTTGGGGGGTAATTTCTTAGCCACAATTAATGTGCAATTAATTTTAATTTAAAATGTAACCACTTGACATCCATAGTATTTGTTATTGTTATAAATATAATGATATATATCTAGTGATGATATAGTATACTTTTATGAAAAGATTCTGTTTCTGGGCAACAGTAAAGCCAAAGTGCAGTTTTCCCCTGCAGTCTTTTTAACACTACACCACAATAATTGCTTCCCATAGCCGTTTTAAGCACTCACATGCTCTCTCGTATTTGCCTTAGGGGAAATGAGAGCAATAGAATGCTGATGTCTATAAATAGATCAGGAAGTGAGGGTAAAATCTGAGCTGAACTGACATATCGAACACCGTCAGCGGGGGAGATCCATGCAGATTTTGGGGTTGTGCTGGGGGCTGGATAAACTCTTTCTCCCACCGCGGTACATCTGCCTGCGGTCCAGTCAAAGGTCACCTGCTTAACAGCAGAATAGGAACAAACGGGATGCTGGGTAATGGATATTGGGGTTGAAAATGTGAGTTTCGGGTTTTGGCCATTATAATTTTTACTCTTAGCTTTTCTGCACAGAAAGAGCATCAGCTCTCTGTAGACAGAAATCTGCTGGCGTAATGGAGTTCGGCTCAGGCATAGAGTTTCTGTAAAAGACATTTTGTACAGTACCTTTACCAGAAGCTAACGTCATCTATTGTTCCCTTGTCTCTGTCTAAATACAAACATGATCTCACTGGATAGACACTAATACATTCAGTAAATAATAACATATGAACAGCTTATAAAGTCTAGACCAGGAATATTAAACAAAAAAAAAAGGCAGCATTTCTCATTTTCATAACTGAAATAAAAAGAAATTATATATATATATATATATATACAGTATATGTGTGTGTGTGTGTGTGTGTGTGTGCAATGAATAAATCAATATGACAAAAACACAATAAACTGGTTAAAACAAAATAAAATAACATAATAAACATAAACATAATAACATTATAAATAACATAGCATAAAATAAAATAAAAAAATACTTCAAAATATCAATAAACACAATGATAATATCTCAACTATACTAATATAAAACACGTTTTGTGTTAGTATTTATTAAGACTAATAAAGCTTACAATTTTCATGAAACCTATGTTTTCATTAAAAAGTTAATAAATGGTTAACTAAACATTTGGTTACCTATATATTTACTAATACATTAACATTAATTTTAACATTTAAAAATAATTACATAAAACACATTTATCTAGTTTTGACATTATTTTGATAATACAAATTTTATACCACGGAAAAAAAGTATACTATATACAATTGTATATATATGTACTATTTAACACAAAAAAGAACACAATTAACAAATTAATTTTAAAAAGTAAAATATTGATATAAATATTAACAAATTAGCCTTCAAGAATTTCTTAGTTAAGTAAATATTGATTTAATTAATAATTCAAGTAAACAGACAGTCAGTATAAAAACATAGGTGGAGTTTGTAGGGAAGTATGCGATTTCCTTACATTTATTTATTTTTAAATATAAAAATAAATAAAATAAATAAACTCTGCCTAGTAGGCACCTCAGACCAGAGCCAATTGATTTTGCCAGAGCTATTAATAAAACAAATATATTCACATTTTCTCATTTTATTTGTATTATCTAATTATTTTAATGAGTATGTTAAGGCTAAATTATTTTTAATTAATGTTTTTAAAAAGTAGCTCTATGCTCTCGCGACTCACAAATCTCAAAGTATCGTGTGAGTGGACTCTCTTCTCGTTCTGGTCCCGCTTTAGTCTGGTGTTAGTGAGGCCAGCAGGGGGTGCTCACCCTGTGGTCTGTGTGGGTCCTAACGCCCCAGTGTAGTGCGCTATATAAATGCATCATTCATTCATTCATTCATGCAGAGATATGCTAAATAAACAAAATGGATATTTGTCGTTTTTTTAAATAAACCCACAACTACAAGAGTGGAGGTCTATAACTCTGACACTTCCAGTATTTATTCTACTGCTGCTAATACTGACACAGCAATCGAGGCCGCGTCAGAGAACACTTCAGGCCCTGGAACCTGCAGCACCGGTACCGCCACAGTGTCTGCGGAGACACCCGCTCAACCCGCAGCCACATCTGGATACATCAACGACCTCGGGGAGAAAGCTACAGGGCCCAAACAGCCCATACTTTCTTATGTATATGTACAAGGTTTGAAATTAACACCCGCAAACCCGCCAAATGCGGGTAAAAATCAGCTGTGGCGGCTAACGCTGTCAAATCACTAACCAATTTGGCGGGTTACTTTTCGTAAGTTATGTTCACTCATTCATTTGTCTCGGAAGTTCATGCAAGCCAAATCTGCGCAGGTTTAGCGCAAATACTGAACTCGTGAGACATCATTACATTATCGAGAATATTGCAAAAACCAAACAAAACACACCTACAGAGGCACGCATGCGTGACGTGATGAAGTCTGGTTAGACCAACACAGGCTTTAGAGCGCGTGCGCATTTAGACTGCGTTCTTTCACTGCATTATTCAGTCTATTAATATGCATTAAGAATGATCACATAATTCAAGATAAGGGGGCAGAAAATGTATATATTTAAATAAATTCATATAGTTAGTCAATATCACACGAAGAGTGACGTTTTTTTCTTAAAAAATCAGCATGGTTACAAATGTGATATTGATTTTATACAACAGTTCAATAAACAATAAGTTAATATCAAGAGACTTACATTTTAGACAACATATTGGCTGTTTTTGCGCTATTTCTGTGCTATTTCGCCAACAAAAAACATTCCAAACACAGCCACAGTACTGTTTTGCGTCTCTGAGCAACAT